TTTGTAAGAAACAAATCCATCATTAAGACGTTTTTAACTTCAAACTGTTGCTTCCAACTGAAATTCAAGTTCTTTATGCATAATATTGCTTTCTCCAGTACAAAAGTCAGAAATATGCACATATCAAGCACCATTTACAAGCAGAAACAGTCCAAAACAGTTCTAAACAAATATTTTGATGTGAAAGGACAACAGGGGATGGACTTTTTCACTAGAGGAAGTGTTATTTTGGATTATGGATTCGTATTTTGGCCATAAGCAATAGGTTCAAATTTAAACACCTTAATGATGGATTTGTTCATTCTGACAACTCTCATTCTGACGGCACCCATTCACTGCAGAGGATCCATTGGTGAGCAAGTGATGTAATGCTAAATTTCTCCAAATCTGTTCTGATGAAGAAACAAACTCATCTACATCCTGAATGGCAGCAAATTTTCATTTTTGGGTGATCTGTTCCTTTTAATGTTTGTTAATAAAAATACAGCTGTTCATTTTTACTTCATTTCAGCTTTCATTTTTATAATGTATTAGTATATGTTGAAATTAACATTGATTAAGCTTAATAAATGCTTTAGAATTATTTCTCATTGTTAATGTTAACTAATGTTAACAAATGAAACCTTGTTGTAAAGTTTTACTAAGAAAACCACCATAGGCCTAAACAACATTAGTACAGTCAAGGGATGTCTAAATGGATGCAGCTGTTTATATAACATGCTACAGATACCACTGTGTAGTTATAAAGAGATGAACTGAGAGTTCGACAAACAGCAGGATAGTAAGAATGATAGCGTGAGGGTCTGAAATCGCTTGGCTTTGCAGAGGATGTTGTGTCGCACCAGCATCAGTTTAATTGAGTTCGGAGAGCCGAGGGAAGACCGAGCTCTGCTGAGTGTTGCACACTGAAATGTGTGTCTCCAGCGGACTGTGATGGATGACAGGTCAATAGAGTCACATGTTGCACTGCCAGTCGAATCTGTGGAGTAAACAGACATTGCGTTGTTGATAGTTGTGATGGGAATGGCAGAGTCAAACATTATATGCTTGATATTTCTCAGGCTTCTTATAAAACAATTAAGCTCTATTTTGTCCACATTAAATATTTTCATAATTTTAAACAGTCTGAACAAATGTATATCAATAAATTTTGATATTTCCCAAATATAATGCCTGGAAATTTATAAATTGACAGTGTAAGTAATACCACTTTTGGTAGTGCACCAACTGTGTTTGCAAGATAACTTCACTTTATGTGGCTTTATTTTGTTTTGCAGTCCAGTGGGAGGAAGCGGCCAGAGGGTCATGTGACCCCCCGATGGTGTGTTTTCTTGAAAAGTGATTTAAAATCAAACGTCAACATCGTACTGAAAGATAAAACCTCCTTGTATTTATTGTTATGCCCTTAAAATCTTAAATTTGTTCCAGATCTTTAAAGTAGTTAACACAAGAGTGTTTCTGTGCAGCAAATCAAGATTATTAAATCTAACTTTAAGGGAGAGCCCTAGTTGGGTTGTTTTTGTATTGATATTTCTATGCATGTTGTTCATGTTAAAGTTAGCATGCGTGTTTAATTTCTGCTTATGTATGCTCTCAAGCCAGCCAAGAGTAAACAAAACTGCTGAATGAGAGTGAAAGAGGCACTTTATGATAATTTCAAGGTCATGCTTGTATTTTACCTTTGTTTTGTACTCTTGAAAACTCCTTATGTAGTCAACAAATAAGAGTTCTGCTGAGGTGGCAGTATAATTGCTTCTCCTCAACTAAACAGAAGTAGATGTTTCATCTGAAATGGGCAAAAAATAAGAAGTGAAAGGGGACACTGATATGCCTCCACAGTCATACAATACAAAAAATGTGAGAAAATAACATCAATGTAATTGATATAAGCTTTTGTATCAATGTGAACAGTCTACAAACTTGCATTTTTCATGCTTTTCAGAGGATCCAAATAAGACTTGTTGGGGTTCAAAGGCTCCGTTGTCAAATGTTTAATGGTAGTCATGTGTTTAAACCAGCTCTGTCCCTTCCAGAATTACTTTTACAATTCATTTGTTAAGGCTAATAAATGTTACGTTTGCACATTTTTCTTGAAAGGTTTTCTTGGAATGTGACGTGTTCCTGTTGATCAGTAGCGTATAAAGAATTAACAGCAAATGCACAAAATATCCTTTTATAAATGTCAGAACAAACTGACATTAAATAAGTTAAAACAAATAAATATTATTTGAAAGGAAAATATAAAGAAATCTATATGATTTCTGTCGGAGGTCCTTTAGATGTTTTCAGTGCATACCACCATTAATTCCTGCATGTAAGGATAATGTTGATGCGTTAGATTTACACATGTCAGGGAACACTGTGAAGAAGGTGGAAGATACGAAGATCAGGGCATGTACCCAAAACGTTTGACGCAGCAGGGTGAAATTTCATTATCAGGGCTGCCTAAAGGTCAACAGCAACTTGTTTGTACCTGGCTCCCTGTATAATCAAACCACCATTGTATTATTGGGTAGTTTGGCAAAGCAGAAGCCTGACAAAACAATTAACACATAAAAAATGCCAAAGCTCTTATAAAATGAACAGCCCAAAATCATGGGGCAAGACGTCATTTTAGCTCCTCACCCAATAAACTCAATATCTTCTGTGAAGCATAGGAGCATCTGCATCAAATGGATGGGCGGCTCCTTGTCAGCTGTGATGGTCAAAACTGAAAAAACAAAACACTTCACCAAAGAATGATTTTAAATCATTGAGGTTGCAGGTCAGGCTATATTCAAATGTTTACAGTTAAAAGGGGCATATGATGTTGCTAAAAAGAACATTATTTCCACATACTGTACATTATTGTTTCTCCTCTATGCCCCGCCTTTCTGAAACGCGTCGATTTTTACAAAGCTCATCATTCTGAAAAGTGAGGTGTGCTCTGATTGGCCAGATATCCAGTGCGTTGTGATTGGCTGAATACCTCAAGCGTGTGACGGAAAATTATAATGACTTATACTGTCTTTTTACGCGTTGCATTGCATCGCGCCGCGTAAACTTAAAAATATGTCTGCATTTGTGATCGGAGAAATGACAAACTACACACGCTACTCTACACTGCTCTAAACTCACGTGTTATGCAAATTTTCCCACATCGTGACGTAGACATGTGGGGGTGTGTTAGAACGAGCCGTTTTAGGTAGGCGTGGTTGACTCTTAACTTTTATAAAGAATATCTCTTTGGATTTGAGACTTTAGTCTTTGCAACTTTACAGATCTTCTTTATGCACCAAGAGCTTGTAACACTCCAAAGAGAAAGGAAAAATTGAAATCGCATCATATGACCCCTTTAAGTGCAGCTGGCTAAGTCCTCTTTTTACCATCAATAATTCATCCAAAACAACTTTGCTTTCTTCATCTCATGCACGTAGGTACGAGTTTGTTACAGGAGGTGGTGTATCTGGTGAGTCAGGGTGCAGACCCAGATGAGATCGGACTCATGAATATTGATGAGCAGCTTCCTGTGTTGGAATATCCACAGCCGGGTTTGGAGATCATCCAGGTGTTTGCTCTCTCACACGCACATATTTACTGAACCAATGGCCTTCAGCATGTGTAAATAAATAACATTTATTTATTTATTTTCCTGACCTCTTGGACTGATAAAGTTTTGTGTTTCTGTAGGAACTGACATCGCCTCGTCTGATCAAAAGCCACCTGCCGTATCGTTTCCTGCCAACAGCGATGCACAATGGAGAAGGCAAGGTCAGCTGGAAAACACACTTAACATATTAATCATGACTTCCAATTGTCCATTAAGGACAATTAATGAAATAGATTTCCATTAAACTGATCAAAAGTGACAGTAGAGACATTCATAATGTTACAAAAGATTTCTATTTCAAATAAATGCAGTTCTTTGAACTTTCTATTCATCAAAGAACCCTGAAAAACATGTATTACAGTTTCTACAAAAATATTGATAATAACAAGAACGGTTTCTTGAGCACCAAATCAGCATATTAAATTATTTCTGAAGGATCATGTGACACTGAAGACTGGAGTAATGGCTGATGAAAATTTTTTAATAGATTAAAACACTTATTTTAAATTGTAGTAATATTTCACAATATTACTATTTTCAATCAAATAAATACAGCCTTGGTGAGCATCAGAATAGTATAGTAGTGAATAATGAAAAATATTTGACTTTTTTCCACTATGCTTAAGATGTGAACAGATCTTTGAAAAGAGCATCATTTTTGGTATGAATATGCCTTTACACAAACACATCAATGCATGTCCTGTAGGTGATCTATATGGCCAGGAACCCTAAAGACCTGGTGGTGTCCTACTACCAGTTTCATCGCTCTTTACGAACCATGAGCTACCGGGGAACGTTCCAGGAGTTCTGCAGGCGATTTATGAACGACAAGTGTGAGTGAGACACATTTGACACAAAACTGACGTATTTGCTCAAGAGGAAAGTGTACGAGAATGTACTTCTTGTCTTAATCTTGTTTGTGTGACCCTGTAGTGGGATACGGCTCCTGGTTTGAGCATGTTCAGGAGTTCTGGGAGCATCGCATGGACTCTAATGTTCTCTTCTTGAAATATGAGGATATGTACAAGGTACTGACTGACACACACACACACACACACACACACTTTCTCCTCCTGCTTATTTTATGGCTATGTTTGAAGTATACTACTTTGTACACTACATAATTATATATGCCGTGTCCAGTGTTTATATTATTCCCAGTATGGAGTTTTACCCTTTTTGTTTTTTATGTGTTTTGTAATTGATTTGGAAGCATTTATTGCTCAATTTTATTACTTATGTTTTATTCTGTTTGTGTTTGTATCAGTGCTAATTTATGAACATTTTAATTAATATTTTGAATGAGCATTTATTTGTATATTTTTAATCTTAGTTAATTTTAGTGATTCTGTTATGTGCTTTTGCCACTTTTATTATTTTAAAAAATATTTCTGTAAAGCTTTTATTAAATTTTATTTCATTTTTAGAACTTTTGGTACTTCAACAAACTTACTTATTTTAGTTAGTTGCCAAAGCAATATTGCTAATATTTAAGTATATTTTTAATCTAATATTTAATTTCAGCATTATTTCAATTACTAAAAATTATTTTTAAGTTTTACAGTAAAAAATACCTTCTGCTTTAATTCAGTTTCCTGTAAACTGATGCAGAGATGATCTCAAACTCATTGCATGCGTTCTGCTTCATATACTCGATAAGAGTATAGTATACTCTACTATAGAGTATAGTCACGTATAGTATTTTGAACATCCTCTTCCTCTCATGTCTCTTTTTAACCTCCACACATCCACTATTTGTCCACGAAGTATCAGTACAAAGAGGCCCCTAATCACCCATAATCACTCTTAGTACATTTCATTCTTACAAACAGCTGTATTCATGTCTTAAGGGCAACAGTTTCTAGAAATTGTGATATTAGAATGTTATGTATGCATAATAGAGGGGAATCACTGATTGTCAGTCTGCTTGAGTATGTTGTTTCCATATCTTTATGGAGTAATGTGATTAGGAGAGCTCAGAGTCCAGCAGAAAAGCACAAACAGAGAGACTGCATGTGACAGAGGCATAACCTCTGATGTAATAGACTAATGTATAGAAACAGAACATATAAATATTACACCATGTTCCAGTAGTCTATAGTTCATTAAACAGCCAGTCTATATACTGAACATAAAGGATATTATATAAACTAAGTTAAATAATATAATATAATAAATATAATATAATATAAATCTTATTCATTTTCTTTTTACTAAACTGTTGTTCCTTAATTCTGTTGTAAATAAGTTAAATATAAATGAAAGTTTGACTTTTAAATGTTAAAGAATTAAGCATTATTAATTTATTTGGTATTATTGATTACAAGTTTATAAATAATAAACTAAAATAACATAAAATACAAAAAATTTTAAAAGTTGTTGTTGTTCCAAACTTTGATTATCAACACTTATTTAAAATAATTTTATCTTGCCATATATGATCAACTAAAATAATAAATTAATAAAATGTGCATTTTCTTAATTTTATTTGTATGAACTTTTTATATACATTTATATACAATCTAATTCATTTATTTTACTTTTATTAATTGAAATGATTGATTAATAAAAATGTATAACTATTATTTAACAATTATTTAAATAGGGTATATCAGTGCAACTAATCTGGCAGAAAATAAACAGATGCACATACTTGAATTGGTCGCTTTGAAAAATGTACTTTTAGCAATTTCCTTTTTTTTTTATTCAGAACATCTGGTAGAAAAAAGTCACCTGCACCTCAAGATCCCTGAAATCATTTAAAAACTGAAGTTAATTATGTAAGCTAATCATGTTTTCATGTATTCATCTGTGTAAGACCAAGGCGTGAGTCATGATTACATAACCAAAAGATTGTCATTCTCTCTGTCTCTCCACCTTTCCTGCCTGTTATTTCCCTCTCTGGAGGATCTGGGGACCCTGGTGGAGCAGCTGGCTCGCTTTCTGGGCATCTCGTGTCATAAAGCCCAGCTGGAGAGCATGGTGGAGAGCTGTAACCAACTCATCGAGCAGTGCTGCAACTCTGAGGCCTTGTCCATCTGCCGGGGTAAGAAAGAGAAGACTGGAAGAAAGAGAAGACTGGAAAAAAAAAGTTACTTTTAATTAATCCTAACTCGATGTGCATTACAAAATAGCAAAAAACACTTGAAACTAGGAAGAAAAATATTAGTAGTCTGTCACTGCATGTTCTGTTCCCTGAGAAACATGACCCGAAGCACACTGACCCTATACCTTATTTAGCCTATCCTTAGAGGAATTATAAAAATGGATTCCCAGAGATTTCTTCTGAGGCAAGAGAAATCCTTAGTCTTTCCCAAGGAAGGACACATGCAGTGATAAGTGCTGGCCAAAAGTGAGAGTGAACTTTAACACATTTTACATGCATGTATATGTCTGCCAGACAGAAATCTAGCCCCTTGTACGACTGCCTTATCGGTCATACAAAGGAAGGATTGTTGGGCAGTGCCATCATGTGGTGCATATGTGTGGTGCATCTTTATTTCTATGGACATTTCTGTTGCTGTTTGACGTCTTTGTGCTGTTATTTGTTTTATTATTCAGTGAACATTATGTAAAAACTGTTTGCAATTTATTTTAGATTATTTTATCATTTGCACTTTAGTTTGGTTTTGTTGTTGTTTTCTTGTGTCTTGTTCATTTTTCTTTTAGTGCATGGATTCTTGGCTTGGCATGACGCTGAAAAATCTCACTACATACAGTAGGGATTTATTATACTATAAGTGTACATGAAGATATACTGTGAACATGAAGATGGAAAAAGTGTAAGAAAGGTGAGTCCGGGTGAGGTCAAGTCTTTAAGGAATGTTCTGGGTTTGATTGTCAAAAAAACTGAATAAAATAAAATAAAATAAAAACTGGGCTGGGCCACTGTTCTGGAGGGTATGAAGCAGAAATGTGAAGCGTATATTTTTGTTGATACACTTAAACTAAAACAAATTATTTAAATTATTTAATTTCATTATTATTATGTTAAAAAAATATATATTATTTTTCTGAGCTGTAAATATGTCTAAATTTATATTTGGATGTGTCTTATTGATGTAATTCCTGTAAGTGGTATCCTTGGTTGTATCATATAAAAGTTAGCATTATGTGCATGATATTTACAGTAAGTTAATGACATTTTTCACAGTCAGTGCTTTTTAAAAATACAACTAAGAGATGAATTCTTCTCTTTGCTAAAACAAATTATTCCACAAATGCTTCCAAACGAGTTGAACTGCTCTGAAATCTTCTAACTCTGTTTTCATCTGCTTCAGGTCGTGTTGGGCTTTGGAAGGACATTTTCACTGTGTCCATGAATGAAAAGTTTGATGCTGTTTACAGACAGAAGATGGCAAAGTCTGACCTGACCTTTGACTTTACCCTGTGAGGAAGCGACACTGGACTATCTGTTAACTGCTCAAGAACAAACCAACCAATCAGTTCACCTGCTGTGCTTAATGTCACCTGATGGACATTCCCCATCCAGATTTGATCTCTCTATCCCCACCATCTCTTGCTCATCAATGCTTTCATTATTTCCTCAAAAGTTACTTCTTAGTACAGATACGCGGTCAGTACTAAGAGGCCTTTTTTATCACGTGTGTATTTGTATAAACAGTGCATCAGCAGTGCTAGTCCAAAGTGTAAGCACAGTGCTTGTTGCGTTTGCACATTGTACAGAGCTATTCCATATCCCAAAGGCGCTTATGAAAAGTGTATTTATTAAAAATCAGAAATGAAATATGATTTAGACTATATTCTATATGCTAAAGCCCTTACGACAAACTCAGAGAATATCGTTGTCATTTCTCAGGAGGATTCTTGAAATCATTGGCTAATACATGCACCAAATATGCAGTCATCCAATCACAGTTCAGGTCGTGAAAACCTGAGCCTCATGACGAATGCTGATTGGCTCCTGGCCAAAAGATCTTTAAGTTTGTGTGGAATGTCATTTTGCTTCTTCTAGTGGCTTCTAGATGCTTTGACTTATATTCCAGTATAGCTATTCATTGATACCATAGATATTTAACTTTTTTTTTAACATTTACTTACATGTGCATCCATAATGCTTGAGTGTATCATGTCTACATATTTGCATAAGTGAGACATATCAGTCACATGAACGTATACAATCTGTGTGTAAAGGACTGGGAAAGAGAACATTTTATATCAGTAACATGCACATCATAATATAATGCATCAGAAGTGTTAAGAGCAGATATGAGTTCGTATTTCATCATTATGTCTTGGTAAAAAGCATAAAAGATGCATAAGGTGAAGTCAAATATCAAAGTGACTTATAACCTCACATATCCAACAATTGCTGTGTTTGGAATGGAATACTAGCATACTACATAGTGTACTATTTTTAAAAATAGAATGTTCAGCAGTATGCATTATGCCACTAACTAAATTTGTAAACTAAACAAAATTTTTAACTTCATTAAATGTGTGTTTAATTCAGAGAGCGGCAGTCGTGTCAGAAATGGATATTTAGAATTTTTGATCCAATTTTGTGTGGCAGTCTGATCAAATAATGAGACAATAAGATATTACACCTGGTTAATTTGTGACACTGAGGATTAGTTGAGTGCATTGCATTGTGGGATTGAGTTTTCTGTGCATTGTGCACTAATACAATGAAAGGGTACTCTGTAAAAAATTGGAAGTAGTAAATAGAACAAAGATCACTGAAGTTACGTTTTACAAGAAAATACTATTTCAGTCTTTCTACTCAAAAAAGATCACTTTTAATTCAATGTTACTTGCCAGTTCTTTGTAAATAATTGACAAATTTACTTGCAATTTCTGAGTAAAAAGTGATTCTACATTCATCTTTTTCAGTGTAGTATGTAACCTAATAATTAATGTGTACAGAAAATGTGCATACTGTGCGCAGTATACATACTGTGTACTGTAGAAATAGTAAGAGTAGTATATATGCTATTTTTTAATCATTTTTCATTCTTTTTTGAATTATTGCAAAAAACTTCACTACTCTATTTTCACTCAGAAGTTGCTAGTAAATTTCACAAAATGACAAAGAAAAGGCAAGTAAATGTGACATTTTGAACTAGTATTCTCTTGTTAAACATAATGCAGTAATCTTTGTTTTATTTACAACTTTGAAAAATATTTTTTTGACAGTGTATTATGCTAGTATGCTATTCCGAATTCAGGCAATGACTTGATTCAGGAAGAGAACCTCTGTTCAGACAGGAGAGAGGCTGTGATGTCATAAAGCTCTGAAACCTCACGTCCAATCAGGAGGCTGCGTCATCACAGTCACTTCATTCATTCCTCTACACCATTTTCTCTTTCTTCACACTCACTATCATGCCTCTTTTCAGTAACTGCTTCTTGTCTCTGGACACATTAGCCTGTTGCTCTGAATGTCTTTACTGTGTGGGGCTCACAGAAACTCACAGACTACAACCAACATGTATTAGTACTGCTCACGTACATGGTCAGCCTGCACTGATTTAGTCCTGCTATGCTGTCTTATGTAACTCAACACACTGGTTTCTTTTCAGCCTTGCTTGCTGATTTATTAATAAAGTGACATCTTTAGGCCTTGAGGTTCAGTTTGTCTACTGTGTGTTATTGCTATTTAGTTACTGGATGATGTTTATTAATTGATTCTTCTGCTTTCTTCTTGCCTTAGAGCGTAAATACAACATATCAGAATTAAAACGGCAGCTAATACAGCGGCTTAAATCTAAGATGCTGGATTAACAACAGTTGGAAACTGAAGCATGCTGAGTACAAAGAGGTTTCTGAACAATCACAGATGGCACCAAAGGACAAGTGAAGTTCCTATGGCAACAAATCAGCGCCTCTGATACGTGTGTCCTTTAATCTGCCAGTCAGATATTAAAAATGAGATCAGTGTAATCAGTGCAACTTTGTATTTTAATGTTACAACATAGCATGGTCTCATGGAATTTTGTTGTTAAAGAAATAGTTCACCCAAAAATGAAAATGTGCTGAAAATGTACTCGCCCTCAGGCCATCCAAGATGAGTTGATAAAGATGATGTTTTTATCAGCTGTTTGGACTCTCATTCTGACGGCACCCATTCACTGCAGAGGATCCTAAATGTCACCAAATCTGTTCAGAGAAAGAAACAAACTCGTCTACATCTTAGATGTCCTGAGGGTAAATACATTTTCAGCATTTTTGGCAAATTTAAATTTTTGCGTGAACCATATCACCCCCAAATGAATAATGAATAAATCAAAAGTTGCAAGTCAAAAGTTACAAATGTACCTTCAAAAGTAAAGAAAAACAGATAAAAAATATATATTTTAGCATTTATTAATTGAGTATTTAATACTTAATCTTTAAAAAATAATTATTAAATTTCATTCATTTTGTGAATTCTGTAATGAACCTCCAGTGAGTTCATCTGTTGCCTTACTACTAACATGCGTTCATGATATACGTACAGATGATATAAAGAGCGTTCTATCTTAAAACATATTAAGAAATCACAGCATATATTTGCAAAAGAGCGCAATGCTCACCCACTAATCACTAATAATTAATGATCAAAAGTGTGTCACATACTTTAGAGCCACTAGAGGGCAATGCAGTCCATGGGAGAGTCTACTTTAAAACGTATCATGGTATCAAACAGGTGTATTTTCCAGTTTGATAAGCTTGTTGGTAACACTGCATCAATGCATTGTTAATAAACTGCATTGTACCATCTCAGGCTAAATGAATGTTGAATGATTAATGATGCCTATAGCAGAGACGAAAGAGATGACAGTTTCACAGTTTAATTTGGCATTACAAGCCTCAAAATGCAAATTATGTCTTTGGAAGAGAAAATAATTTATTGTTATACTGTTGAACAACACCAAAATATAAGATAAAGTGATTAAAAAAGACTAACTTGTCCTGTGGGATTACTTGAAATGTTGATGAAATCATTGTGATTTTTTATTTATTTATTTAAATGTTTTTAATTATTTATTTATTTATTATCTATGATCGGTTTAAATAAAATAAAATGATCAAATAAATGAATAAACCAACCACTGACACATGCAGACAATCACACAGCGAGTTGCATGTTTCTGAACACAACACACTATTTTAACTTGCCCATTTTTACAATGCATTGTGATTGCTTTGTACTTCCACTCAGTTTTTCCGGTTCTCCCATTGGAGTTATGTGGAATACCTGAGAACGTGTGGGATCCAGGACTTCTTTCCCGACAGAATCTGCACGTGTCCGTAAAACTGTCGGTATGTAACTCTGGAAAACACACTGGCTGTATGAAGAACTCACATGCATTGACAGCCCTGGGCTTTCGGGGTTAAAATTGTGAATATTGTTCTTTTTTTGTCCTGAAGGAGAGGCTTTACAGACTTTTTGACAAGTTCTACTGCAACTGAAAGCGCAACTAAGCAAGTCAGAGAGAGAGAGAGAGAGAGAGAGAGAGAGAGAGAGAGAGATGTAACAGCTGTGATATTCTGTTTGCTGTGTCAGCGCCCCTGGCTGCCCACTGCTGCTCTCTCCCCATCTCTTTCGTCAGTCATGAAACACTAGTTGAGTTATCACTGTCAGAAGGCTGGTTGCTGCAATATTGTTCTCTTGAGTCCTGGTCATGAAAACTGCACTGTATTTACAGGGCTCAACAGTAAGGATGGTCCGATGGCCCGGGGCTTGTGATGGAACCGTCACTTGCTGTATCTTGCAAACTAGCAGACATTTTCTGTGATATTTTGAACATTGTTATTCTGTGAATTTTGCTGATGTAAAAATATCATCTAACTGGAAAATGTTACATAAGATTCTCAGCTATTATTGCCAAAATTACAAACATAATAACTATTTGATGTAACACAATGTTACTTGTTTGATGCAAAGCAGCTCAAGTTGCTTTTTAACAATTTGTTAAGAATATGGTGAAATGATTTACAAGTGTATTGCAGTCAATGGACCTGAAACTATATTGCTGTGCAAATATATTTATTGACACCTTGTCAGACAATCAGAATCAAGAGTTCTACAATGATGTGAAAGATTACATCTGCCTTCTTCCTGTCCCCAGAAACCATCACCAATCTAAACACACACACACATTCCCCATGTCTCCATAGTGGCCTTATTTTTTGTTGATTAATGTCCATTTTCTTTTTTTTCTTTCTGTTATAACATTCAGCTCTAGCTTCCTACTGCCTTATTCGGACTCAAACCTGAGTCCTTTTTAATCTCTGTATTGAAATGGGGCTACTAGCACACACAAAGAGTGAAAAATTTAAGGGGGTCTGAATACTTTCCGTACCCACTGTATGCGTAATTGCTCCATTCATTCCTTATGAAAGATTTGGAAACACGCACAAGGGCACATACTGGGCTTCTCCCCAAGAGAAACTCTTGAGAACAATGAGAACAATGAGAACAATCAGACGGGGTCCAGAATTATACATATACATGCAAACATGACGATACAACTCAATAGTACCCATATAATATCTGTTGACATAGTTGCTGCTTAATTATATAAGTTTAAACAGACATTATTCTAGTAGCAATATAGGACATGTACATAATCTTCAATCACAACTGATGGCTCAGCTAGAAACCAGACTGAGCAGCTATAAAGACTGGGCAAATAAATGCCACCCACCCACTCACCTTAATCCATTTACTCATATCTGATAGTAAATCACGTATCTGTTAGCATTAATAATATTAAGAACATTATATGAGACAAGCGCTCATGGCCTGTGACATATGTAAAGAAAAGAAAGTTAACTAAAATGTGAAAGAAGACATTTTGACATTGCAATGCAACACATTTTGGGCAATTAAATTCTATAAAAAGATTATGCCAATAAACAGAGCTTTTTATGTTAAAAAATATTACTGCAAGCATTTCCATTATTTATGGCCTACATATAAAGCCACTTTACCTGTAGGCCAATTGATTGACTATTAAATTGTCCTCTGCTTGAATTGGTCCTACAAGATAAACAATTCATTTTTTCTCCCCAAATTGACCTTAAGCAAACCGTGGCAGACGGAATGAAGATTACTAAGTTAATTGTTCATTTAAGAACAATCTGGACTGGTTATAAGTCCACTTATGTTGAACACATGCACAACAACATACACACGTTTTCCTACTGAGGGTGACTTTTCCTTCCAATAAATTCCAACTGGGCTAAAACGTATCGCAGAACATTGGTCCCCGCTAAGGTTTCAAAGACAGAGTAGAAATATTTCCAATTATGCAGGTTCAGGTGTGCAATAATTTCCTTTATCCAACCGCACTAGGCAAAATGTAAGTGCGAGCACAGAGCATTTATGCGACATGCATCAGTGTCACGTCAAGTGTGTGTTTGTGTGATTCCGCCGCGGCTCTGCTGCACGGTCATAATTGTCTTTCCATTCGTCTTGGGTCCGTCTGGCCGCCTCCATCTGACAGTTTGACTGCTCGC